GGCGCGGGGAGGGCAGGTGAGTACGACGGCGCCCGCGCCCCCGCAGACCGGCCGCGCCGCGGCCGCGGCAACGGCCGCCGCCGCAGACTTTGCGGGGGATGTGTCGCTAAACCGGACGCGCCGCGGCGCGTGGCCGTGCGCGTGCGCGTGCGCGCCGCCGAGCGAGCCGCCAGAGCTGTTGCTGCATCGACGAGAGCCCCCGGCGCCCGCGCCAGTGCCCGCGCTGGTCGCGGCACAGCCGCCGCCGCGGCGCAGCCCGTCCTCTGTGCCGCAGCTGAGGAAGCTGCTGCTGCTGTCCAGGCTGCTGCGGCTGATGGCATACTCTGGGGAGGAGCCGGCGCAGGAGCCCTGGTCACGCGCGCAGGGGCCGCATGCGTCGGGCCGCGGCTGTTGCTGCACCACCTGCTGCTGCTGCTGCTGCTGCTGCTGCAGCTGCACCACCACCATCTGCTGCTGCTGCTGCTGCTGCAGCAGCTGCGGTTCTTGCTGCGGCTCTTGCTGCGCCTGCGCCGCCGGGCGAGTCTCCGGCGGCAGCGGGTCGGAGTCCGCGCCGCAGAGCGTCGCGGGCTGCGTCACGCAGCAGGTGAAACACGAAACGCGGAAGCGGCCGCGCGTATACGCCTGTGAGGTGGTGCGCAAGCGGGAGGGAGAGAGGATGGCGGACGCTGAGAGGCGGCGTGCGGGGCCAGGGGCAGCCGGGCGGGAGCCGAGGGGGGGCGCCACCCGGGCCAGGAGCTGCCGGGCGGGACAGCGATGGAGCCGCGTCGACGACACGGCGGTGCCGCGCCGCGGGTGCTTTTGGCGAAGTGAAGTGTCGACGTTCCCTGATGCCACGTGCAGTGCCACGGCGATGGAGCTGCTGGCGCGAGCTGGGGCGCCGGCCGCTGCATCTCCACGAGGAGACCCTGCCTTGCCACGGCGCACTCAGGCCCCAGCCCCTTCCAAGCGTTGGGTCCGGTACAGCACTCCCACACCCCTGCCATTGTGTTTCACCTGGCTCTTGAGCTTTTTGGGCGGGGCTGGCGCGGTGGTCGCGGGCCCTTTCCTCTTAGCGTCTGCCTCGGTGTGTGAGACGACAAAGCGCCCCTTCCTCTGCGTTGATACCTCCATCTGCTCCACCTCCGGTTCCACTGTCTACCACGTCTAATGGTCCGGGGACATGGAGCTGCAGCTCTCTGGCGCGGGCCAGCAAGCGGCCGTCGCCGCTAGCGGGCAATGATTAGCTTCTAAATTGATGTAACCAACGAGATATCGTCGAATCGGGGGCTGAGTGGTGGCAAGGTTGTGAAGCATTGGGACCAGGCTTGTGCTCTGCTGTGCTGCTGCGACCTGTATAATATGACAGCAGACGATGGTACCTGAATGTCACATGGAGCTGGAGTACAGAGCTATCGAGGGCAGAGGCGGAGGGCGAGCGAGGACCAGTCCGTCAGCACCGCCCGCTGGCCTTCTATGTGTGCGCCGCGGCGCGGCGAGCGCATTGCGCCAGGCAGGGCGCAGGCAGGGCGCAGGCGAGCCGCAAACTGGGTGGTCTGACGCGTCCATGTCGGCTGCATGCGATGACCAGCCTGCCGCAACGCGAGACACCATACCTGCGGGGCCGGAGGAGCTGGCAGCTCGTCAGTACTACCAGGTGCACCCTTCGCCATGCCCTGTCAGCACGCGGCTTGATGCGAGTGGCAGACACCTTGCGTTGAAGACGCGCACCGCACAGCTAGGGGGGAGACGCCGGTCGACCCCAGCTTAAGCTGTTGGCGCGTGGGTGCGGTTGACTGGCGAGTAAGGGCTTGGGCTCCGCGGCCCCAAAAAGCCGCTTGCCCGACGGACACCAATTGAAGGACGCCGGCGTTACATTGATTGCTGATTGCTGAAACGTGGGTGGGAATCATGCAGGGCTTGGCGCGCGTTGCGGCAACGCGTCTGGTAAGAGGGGGTCGCGCATTTTTGCCGCCGGGGACGGCTCGCGGCATTGCGCGGGCGCGCGTCCGGCAGTCGAGCTCGTTGGCAGTGCTTTAGCAGCCGGGCTTTAGTCAGGGTTCTAGTCGGTTGGCAGGTGAGTGTATGGGGATGCGAATGCGCCTCCTAGGGTAGCCGCTCGCTCGCTCTGCTCACACCCTCAGGGGCACTCTTGAGGGAAGGCAATGACGAAACGGGTCAACACGGGCGCGCCTCAAAGAGGCTCACGCACAATAGGGCGACCCCCCGCGCGTGTTGAGGGCGCGGGCGAGCCGCCATCATTCCCAGTGTGGTCTGTCGTTGGCGCCAGGCTGCCGGGCCCTCTGCAGGCGAGAGGGGGGCGCAACAAAAGCAGCTGGCAACTCGGAGCAATGCAGGGTGCGCCGGCCGCGGCGCGGCATGCGCGCGGGCGCGCGCGCACCGCAGGCGTGCGTGCGCTCCCGCCGCCGCCGGCCACGGCCGTAGCACGCCCCAATCTTGCCCGGCCCCGTGGGGAAAACGTGGGGAGCCGGGCCGCGACTATGAAATACATGCGTGCGCCGCTTGCAGCTGCCGCCTGCGGTGCCTGTGCAGTTTATTGCAAGGGCGTCCATCGATCCAGGGGCCAAAGGATCCAAAAAGCCAGTGCGGCCCGAAATAAGCGCGGTTCCCAAGGCCGCGCGCACAGCCTGCGTGCGCTGCCGCGCCGGGCGTGGGCGCTGCGGCCGCGCGGCCGGGAGCGCTGCCTTTGACGACGAGCGACCCTCAGTACCGGTTTGCGTTCTGAAAGAGCGGCCGCGGGCGGGCAAGGGGGCCGTCACGTGCCTTGTGGGAGGGGGGTGTGCTGCAAACAGCAGGGGGTGCACAGCCGGCGGGCCCAATCGCGGCAGCGGTTGAGAGCGCGCGCGCGGCGGCGTGCAGAGGGGGGGGGGAGGCGCGAAGCACGGGCGCAAAGCGGGGAATAAAGGGGTAAGACAAGTGCGTGATGGTGCTATTATGACGGCGCGCGGGCTTCCTGGGTTGCCCATGTGGCAAAAGACCCTGGGAGAGCCGGGGCGGTTCCAACCCGGTGCCGGCTCTGGGCACCCGAGAGCAAAGCCCGGCGCCGCCATGTGCGCTCTGCAGCCCTGCCCTGGGGGCTATGGACAGCCGGGCCGGCCCGCCAGCCACCGACCCGGGCAAGTGCTTTTAGCGCGCTCTGTCCCGAGGGTGACTCGTGTGAGCCCGTCGGGGCGCGCTGATTGGGTGGGTTCACCAACGCCGCGGCCCAACAAACCAAGCGTGCGACGCGCCCGGCGGCCGGCGGGCGTGCGCGCGCGAGCCGGCGTTGCGCAGGGGCGCGGGCCGGCGTGCGCGCGGGCGTCTTGCGGCCGCCAGGGGCGCCGCCGCTTTGGTTTAAGAGGGGAGGCGAGCTCAGCAGTGACTGAGGGCGCGCTGGCCCGGTCGCATGCGCCGACGGCGGCCGGAGCCGAGTCGGCAGCAGCCAGGCACAGCCACCCAGGCGCGGCGCCATGCGCGGCGACTCTCACAGTGCTGTGAATGCGCGCCGCCCTGGCCCCCACGCCGCGTGCGGCGCGGCGTGTGTCACCAGCAGGCCGCGCCGCGCGCGGCGCGGGCGCGGGTCAAGGCGCGCATCTGCGGCCGCGCGCGCCAGCGCGCGCGCGGGAGCACGCCGGGCGCGCGCGGCCGATATGAGGGTTCGTCTCAGCCGTCTCATTTAATCAAAAGGGGGGACCGAAGCCGTCGGCAAAACTGTACAGGGGGGGGGCAGTGCAAGCTGACGCCGTGCACTCGACGGCGGAGGCCTTAACGCAGGCGCAGCGCGGCGCAGCGCGCGTGTCACTGCGTCCTGGCACTGCTGGCAGGCCCCTTGCTGCGGCTGCGCTGGACCACCACGCCCGCCGCGTCGTCGCCGGCCGACGCCGCGCGCGCGAGCGCCGCGCCGCCGCCGAGCATGAGCCGGAGCGACGGGTCGAGCGCGGCCGGCGTGGCGGAGCCGGCCGGCGCCAGCGCGCACGCCGCAGCGGGGGCCGGGGCGGCGGGCGCCGGCAGGGGGGACACCGCGGGGCTATTGGGCACGCTGCCCTGGCCCTCGCGCCGCAGGGGCTGGCCTGCAAAGGCTGAGGGGGCCGCAGCCGGCGCGAGCAGCGCCTGCTGCTGCTGGAGCAGCAGCTGCTGCAGCAGCAGCGCCTGCTGCTGCCCGTGCTGCAAGTGCTGCTGCTGCCCCTGCCTGAGGAGGCCGCCCGCCTGATCTCCGCCGCCGAAGCCGCCGTTGGCCGCCGCGGCCTCGGCCGCGGCGCGCTCGGCGGCGGCCGTGGCGGCGGCCGCGGCGCGCAGCTGCAGCTGCAGGGGGGAGGACGCCAGCTGGAGGGCGATGACGTCATCCTGGGGCTCGTCGGTCGGCTCCTCGGTGTCTGCCTCTGGGGGCGGGAGCTCCTCAAGAGAATACAGGTTGCCTGCGGTGGGGGGGCCGGGCCGGGTGGGCAGCAGCGGTGCGGGGTCAAGACGCAGGGCTGGCTGTTCTGGGACAGGCGACTCAGAGGGCAGCTGGAAGGAAAAAACGCCTTTTCAGAGCCATGGGTCATGGCCCCCTTGTGGAACGACCGGATCCCATGCATGCATGCACGCATGCGTGCGTGCAGGCGCGTGGCGGCTGGGCTGGCAGGGGGCCCACCGTCGCCGGAGCTGGTGCGGCCGTCCTCGTCATTGTCTGACTCGTCATTGTCCTCGAGCCTGAGCCGCTTGGCGGCCGCCGCGCCGGCCGCCGAGGGGCCCGCGGGGCCGCGGCGCTTTTTGGGGGTCACCTTCCCCAGTGAGCGCGTGCGCAGGAAGCGGATGCCGCAGGCGTTGCAGAGGATCGGCTTGCCCTTTGGGCCCTTGCGCCACTGGGGGCTGCTGCTGGCGCCGCAGTGGCAGCAAGGGCCGCACAGCTCCTGCTTGCCCTTGCCGCGGCGCGACGCGGCGGCGGCTGCGGCAGCGGCGCTGCCGCTGCATGGTGTGGCGCAGTCGAGGGCCGTGGCGGCCGCCGCCGCGGCCGCGGCGACGGCGGCGGCGGCCGCGCTCGCGCTGGGCTTGATCGGGCTGGAGGTGGCCGAGGACGGGGGGCCTGAGTAGACGGTGAGCACGCTGGCGTCCCAGGGGGAGCGCCAGGGCGCGTGCTGCTTGCGGCGGCCGCTGCCGGGGCGGCGCACAAACTCGTGCGTCACCTCGCTGGCGTCGCTGTGCGTGCTGTCCATGTCGGACGCCGTGTCCACCAGGAGCAGGTACCGCTCCTGGAACGCCTGAACGGTGCAAATGGGATTGGCAGGGGCGGCGTGGAGGCCGGCGGCTTGCTGATGGCCCCCCCGCGATCTCGAGGCGACAACAGAGGCCAGGGTACGGCTGAGGCGTGGGCGGCGCCGAGCGGTGCCTTGCGGGGCCGACTCACGTCAGCTGCCATTGTGTGCTATCAACATCAAGATATATGTTCGTCAAGTCGCGACCCTCCCGGCGGCTGCAGGCCGCTTGCAAAAACCGAGGACACGATCCGAGCCGGGAGGCCCCGTCACAAAAGGAGAGGCCACAGGACCTCATTCAAACAAAGGATTTCTCACCTGCATGTTATCAAACGCGCTTTGCAAAGGCTCCGGGCCTGTGCGGGCGCAGCAGATGAATGTGGGTGACACGGGTGAGTCTCGATTTCTCGCGTGGATTGCTGCTATCGGCAACGTAGGGATGAGGAAACATGACCGGTTTGAGCGACGAACCAGTCGGCCGGCTCGATCGCGCACACTCTAGGCACCCTATTGCCTGAGGCTCGCGGTGCATCTGCGACAAGCCGCTGCGAAGAGGCTGCCCGCGAACACAAGATATGCATGCGACGCTGTCACGATCGCGTGTAGGGCACCTGGGGGGGATCCAGGCGACACGGCGATCCCACATCACCGCCACCTCGCCCCAGTCCAACGCACGGCACCGTCACGCACCTGATCGCCAGGTGCTGATGTAAAGACCTCCGACTAAGCAAAATCGCGGCCAGCCGACGGCGTGCGGCCTTGCTGGGGTGCACAATGATGGGCGCGGTGCCCCTTGTGCTTGTTGAGGGGCTTGCTTGCTGTGGGGTCGACGCAATGCTTGTAAGACCCGTGATTGTCGATCGGTTGAAATGATGCCGCGCGGTGAGGTCGGCCAAAAGTCTTCTTTTGCGGCACGCCCGCTAAAGTTCC